CTCTCTCTCTGTCTCTCTCTCTCTCTCTCTCTCTGTCTCTCTCTCTCTCTCTCTCTCTCTCCCCCCTCTCTCTCCGCTCCCTTCCCTCCATCCCTCCCTCCCTCCCTCCCTTCCTTCCTTCCTATTGTTTTATTGTTTTATTGTTTTTTGAAGTTTTTTTATTTTTATTTTTTTATGGTGACCTTGGTTAATGAAATCCAATAAGTTTCAGCTGTACATTTTAACAGTAAGGCATATATATTTACACTGTGTGTTCACCTTTCATAGTTATATTTCTTTCTGTCACCACATATTTGACCCCCTTTACCCCATCTACCTTCCCTCTCCCAGCTCCCCTCTGGTAACCACTAGTCTATTGTCCATGTCCGTGAGTGCAACAGGGCAAGACTTTTCCTAGTCCAGTGCTATCGGTCTCTCCAAGGATTTTCACCCTCTTATGCATTCAGTAAATATTTAATAAGAGCATACTGTGTACCAAGGACAGTTTTCAGTGCTGGGGATACAATCATGGAAAAAATCCTGTCCATTATGGGATATGACAAAGAACAAAACTATATAATATCATGGGATAGAATGATAAGAGCTATAAGGAAGAATGATGGGGAAAAACAGGGTGGTCAGTGAGTGGTGAGTGATGAGAAACCTGAGTGAAGAGAGGGAGGAAGCCATGTGGAGATCTGGGGAGAGGCGGCAGCAAGTGCAAAGGCCCTGGGGCCAGGCAGGCTTGGTGGGTCAGGGAAGCAGGAAAGGGCCCACCGTGGTCGAAACCAAGGGGGAAAAGGATCCCCACCAGGCATCTTCATCTTCTGAGACCCTATCTATACTTGTCTCTGGTTGCAGAGTGCAACCTGGGGCAAGCCTGACCCCCAGACATTCCTCTGGTCCTCAAGAAGGTAAGAAGAAGCTACACAGATGAGCTGAGACTTCTTTAGCTTTGAGAGTGAGCCAGTAGTCTGAGACTGGTAAGAAGAAAGGCTGCCTCAGGAGCCAAAGCCACTGCACCTTCCACCACTCTAAGAATCACCACCACTCAAGAGAGGGTGGAGGGGAGCCCCACTGGGCAGTAACAGAAAAAAATAAAGCACATAAGAGGGTCCAGCAATCAAAGGATAAGAATATACAACCTCAGAACAGCCCCTTAATGAAATAGAGCCACTGGAAGAAATAGACATCTTAAAATTAAAGCTCTCAGGAGATTCAAGTACAGAACAATAGGGAACTGAAAAATATGACTTTCAGGTTTTTAAATTCAGTAAATGAATTGGAGGCCTCCAAGGTCACTGTTGAGACTCAAATTAGTGGCCTGAAATTACCGTGAAATTTATAAAAATTCTATAGTTGTGAAAGCAATGTCTCATGCCAGAGAGCAAAATGACAAAAAGAGAAAGAAATCACAGAGAAAAGCTAGAAGACTTAGGAGACCCAATAGGCAAATAATAGCAATTTCAACAGAAAAGGACATTTCCCTAAAGAAAAGCCTGCATCTGTATAAGGAAAGGCCTCTTCGAGTTTTTGGTAGGGTTGATGATCAAAACACATACCTAGGCATACTCTGGTAGAATTTCTGAACTCCAAGGTCGAAGACAGTATCTCAAAAGCTTCCAGCCAGAAAGAACAAGTGACTCTCACATGAAAAAGAATGGGCTTCTCACCTGCACCCCTGAGGCCTGGTAGGCCGTGGGAAAACATCTGCAGACACCTGAGATAAAAGAATTGCAACCCAAGAGTCTTCCAACCAGCCAAGCTACCGTTCACTCCCAGGTGAAAGAAAATATTTGTGGCTATGCAAAGAGGTAGAAACATCTCTCACATACTTGAAAAGAATATATCACGCATAATCTTGAACAAACACTAATGAATCAAAACTGAGGTGTCAGGACAGA